TGTCTATTTAATCGAAATGCATCTCATATATTTCAAATATACGTAATCTTACTTTATATGTGGCATAATTACTTTTCTAAAATTCTCAACGAAAATCCTGCTTATAACAATGATATCTAAAATTACAAAAATTTTTATTTATTTCATTATATCTACCAAAATTGCTCCATTTTCCTGCAACCTCTTGATTATACTTTTTTTTTGTCAGCAAATACTTATTAAACTGTCCTACAAAAATTACGTGTTACGTCTTGTAACTTTAGCTGTAATTGTTGTTTGATCGCAGTTACACAACCTAGTAAACACCGAGTCGCACTCCAATACATATATGTATATGTAATGTTATTTAATAATTATTATTAAACAAGAAATTATATATATAATAAATTCTTTTGTAACGTGCGATTGTGATTATCGTAAGCATAGATTGATATAATGAAATTATTCTTATTTCATTTCTTTTTATGTTAGGTATCTTAATATGACTTTGAATATGAACTGAAAATTTCAAGTTTCGAAAATGAAAGTTCAAAATGAAGCTTTCTCGCAAACTCGACAGTGGCTTTATCGTATCGTACCGGGCGCGCTGTTACGATTTACACGCGCGTTTTCCCGCGAGACCCGCTTTTGTCGGTATACGGCGGGCTGTAAAAAAAAATCGCATTTCTCTTGCCACCTTAAATGCCTTCGCCGTAAACTCGCTGATTTAGAAGCTTTACACGCGCGCAGGAGTAACGCGCGTTAAAAGATTAATCGTGATGAGATACAGCAACCACCGACGACGAGACGACGATGTCATGTCTTTTCTAACGTGAGCGGCCCGCGAAGCCAACGTCACGCGTGTCGCGTAAAAACGCGCGCGTCTGCGAGAATCTCGATGGCTCTTTGCTCCTCGCATCGCATCGTATCGCCTCGACAACAACGCCGTGAAATCGACCATCGTGGCGCGCATCGTCGTCGTCGTCGGGTGTCATCTCGGGCTCCCTATCGATCGATCCCGGTGTTCGCGGTTCGCCCGGTGTGCAACGGGCTTTATCAAGGGCAACGTACCCTCCAGGTCGGTACCGCGCGCGTCATTTGCAACTCGTTTCATCGCCTGCCATCTGCGTCGCTTTGATGGCCGCTATGAGGAAGAAACCATAATCGCTCGTTCACACAGCGTACGTACACACACACAACGCACACACACGTGCACAATCGCGAAGTATGCGGAATTTATGGAACTGTGCGTCCCCACCGCGCCGCACGCGCCTTTTGCCTCTCGAGGAGGAATTTATGACGATCGGCTGAGAGCCCTTAACCGAAAAAGGCAACAGTCACCTGCGAGGGACTCGCAGTCCCAAGTTCGCGTTTTTCGGCTCCGTTACGTATACGAGAATCGTGCGTCTCGTGACGCACAGTCGTGTGTTGGCGGCTTGGCGCGCAGGTGTTCTCTCGAAATACGCGTGTGTGTGTGCGCGCCTGGGAAATTTCACAAGAATGTCACCAGCACGAAACTCCGCAAATCATCTCTGGCTATGTTATATGTTCGGTTACGGCATCCTTTCCGTACACGGCATACATATTTCTTTCGTTTTTATATCGCGTTTTTCCCCCTTTCGGAAAGCAAAACAGCGAAATCAAACAGCGATAAGCTTGTTTTGCCCTATTTCTTTCTCTCTCGATCTCAAGTGAACTCTTTCACATACGACTCCCACGAACTAAACGACGCACATAGGTGTTAACTGTCACAACAAGCATGCATTTACGCCGTATAGATTGAATTTTTCTTTTTCTTCAAATAAAACACACTAAAGCTATCGATGGAGAAAATACCACGTTACTTCCCTTCCAACCCGACACATTTATACCATCGCTGAGCGAATTAATAAAACTCACCGTGGAAATAATCGCCGTATTATTAATTGGAACAATTGAGCATTGGATCGTTACGATTTCGGTAAAAAACGACGCTTCGCGGGCAGCACCGTTCCCCAATATTTATTTTATTTGCTACAAACATTTACACAATATAGCGTCCGACGTTTCGGCACGTACCTAACATATCGAGCGTACTTTTTGTCGTCTCTCTCATACATACACACACACACATGCGCGCGCGAGCGCGTGCATCGTTCCGTCCGAAACGAACAATCGCGACATTATTCAATAACAAGTATTCGGTATATCGCGAGAATGAAAGGAGAATTATATCACGGGCAAGCAATCAGCGAAATTGCCGTGATTAATTACATTTTTCATCTCCCCGCGGGAGGCAAGACAATGGGCAGGGAGTATGCTTAAATTGCGGGGGAACGTGACTTTTTTTTTGTTGTACCATCGCGTGTATGCGTTGTTAACGCAGTTAAGCATATATTCTGAATGAGACTTCGCGGGAAGGAAGCCGGAGTTTTAATGAAATTGTTCGCGTTGATGAGAATAACGAGCCTCATAAGGATCCCCTGTGTGTAACGTGTGCGTGCGCTAAAAACAAAAAAAGAAGAGGCGGAAAAGGAAGCCCGAAGCACAAGTGTGTGTGTGTGTGTGTGTATGTGTGTCGCGCGCGGGCGTATTTTTATTTTTCCTTACTCGCCGTCAGTAATCTCGTTGCGACGGCGTGATTAAAGTCCTCGCGGTCGAGTGTCTCCCCCTCCCCTTCTACGAAATAACTATGAAAACAGAACGTGATATTGTTGACGGAAATGCCATCTCCACGGTTTCGCACTAAACTGCCGAACGGTGCTTGTTTAATTGCAATTACGCGTGTTTTTCTCTTTTTTTTTCTTTCTTCTGCGATTTAATATGAAATATTCCAATTTCCCCTCGAATGCGGATCTAATTAATAAATCGCGGGAATTGAGCGCGTATATACGTGTCGCGTTTATAAAACCTCGTTACACGTGGCCGGTGCGCGTAACAAAAATGGTTTAATAACATGTAAATATATCATATTGTTACCGTCAACACCGTGTACAACGTTAACGGGAGGAGGGGGCATCGCGTTCGCGCCGTCTGCCCCGCCGACGAAATGACAATGTCCCGCATTGGAGGGCCATTTTTCGAATTGCCGAACAGCAGAGCCGCCGTCGCCGCGTATCAAAACGAATTCAGGGCATTTGATAAAAGGCTCAGTTCTCTTTTCACGCCGGCTGCGCGACCATTCACGCTTCGGCTTCCGAAGAGAAATTCTTTCGAGTTGAAACCCGCTCGCCGATTGGACGCCGTGTGACGCCAAGAGAGAAAGAGACACGTACAGACACAGAGACGGAAGGAGAGAGGGGCGAGGGAGAATATTTCGTCGGTATGAATGAGGCTCGTAATCCAGCCAGATGCGCCTTTCGCATCGATAAAAATTGTCATCGAATTCGGCCTCCGCCGCGGTAATTACGGATTCGGGAGCGGCGGGGCCCCCGGTGATTAATAACGCGAGGCATGCTTTACGTTTCGAGGGGACGAAAAGAGCGGTTTTAGAGCGAACATTTATCGCACGATATCGCGCGTTGGAATACTCCCCTCGTACATTGAGAACAAAACGTCTGGCACTTTGCGATTACAATTGCATGGTGAAAAAATCTTAGTCAGGAGAACTTAATGCAGCGAGTGTCGATATAGTGATAACGATGATAACTTGGTACAGGTATTGTTGTTACTATACTGTTTAGTTGAAGTAATGAGGAGACCAATTTTTTTTCCAGTTTCAGTGCCGCCGTAGTGCCAGTGATAATAACGCTTACACGCGTAATAACTACCGCTGTCTTCGTCGTTGGAGCAAAAACGAAGATGCAGTTGAGCCGTGTAACTTCTCTCAGTGCAGTTGTGGTTAAGATATTTGAGCTTTCTTCTTTGTGCAACTCGCTGCGCTAACGCGGCTGCTCTTGCTGCGTTTATCTCCGCGAAACAATCGCATCGTATCAGGGCGTGTACGGTCTGCCGAGTTAAGACACGATTGCGAAGAAGAAGAGATTGCTTTTATCGCGTGCCATTCGCTTCATCTTCCCCCTTCTTCCCCCGCAGCTCGAGGAGAATCAAGCATTTCGCATTCTCGCCCGATACCGTCGTTATCTGATCGCGTCCGGCTTATTTCGCTTCATTTGTCGATCTCGGTCGACGTCCCATTACACGCCGCAAGCCCTCCATTCCCGGCAGCCCCGGACCGTCCGGATTTCAGAAGCAACGACCCGTTTCGTGAGATACGCGGTGCCACGGCATTAGCGACCATTCGGACGTCCCGCCAACCAGCGAACTCTAATTTGCGGTGCCCGCTAATTGAGGGACGATACACGAGGTCCGGCACGCGGACCTGCACCGACGGACAAATGAAGAGATTTCTGGATACGACAGTGATAACTCGGCGTTATCATGGTCACAATGGTGTTATGCGATAATAAGTAACCAAGTATCGACACACAGTGCTATCAACGACTGAATCGTTAAATGAGAGAATACACGATGTCCGCGTGCGTGAAATTGTAAAGTGTAAAGTGTTGGTAAAATGCTCGGATGGGGCATTTTTAACGGAAATTTTTCACGGATAATATAGGAAAAACGTTGATATGAGCGTATTTTAGGAGATTAGCGTCTCTTCGACACTACTTACAGCGTCAATGTTACTTATATCAGGCGTGGGAGGGCGATTTAACCGTCAAAAATAAGAAAAGTGAGTTTTAATCTTGAAATGGTAAGAAAATTATCAAAATTCTGTCGTCAATTGTTTTTTTTTTTTTGAAAGGGCCCAAGCTGAATAGAAAAAAAGTGAATTCTTTCGTAAAAGTGTGATGTTTCTAAATAAGAAGAAGGAAAAATGAGTCGCTCCCATACCTTACATTTATATTTTCCATGTTGTTGTTCGCGTTCGGCAAACAAAACGTTTGGCAACGTACTAGTATCAGTTGAAAACTGATGCTATGCCTATCGCATTTATCGTTTCGTATATCCTCAAGCCAGACGTTGTATTTAACACCCGATAACGCACACATTACTCTTCTTCTTATTATTATTATTACTGTCATTGAAACACATACCTGGTGTGACGAGGAGCGCGATGCCAAGGAGTAGAGCCCTTGTCGCCACTTCCGCGATTCGTCGGAAGTCCCTGCGACACCACCGTAACCGATGCCTCTTCCCTTCGTCGTCATCCTCGTCCCCGCCGTCCTCCGAGTCATCGTTTTTACCCGCGTGCTCGAAAAGGCCCAGATAAAGCCGCAGCTTCCGGTACACCGCGCCGATCCCATCTGACTCGGGCATGCGTCGCTTCAGACACTCCTTTTTCTCAACCGCTTCGTTCTCCTCGCGTCTATATGGCCGACAGCCTGTGCAGGTGGGCTGACCGGAAGCGAGGATCGCTTCGTGGTCGGTCCCCCTGGGGAGAAGTGCTTCCTTTACCGTAAGTGATTTCACCTCGGCGCTCGTGTGTGTCATCTTACGGTGGGAGATCGCTAATTGAAGTTTCTCCTTATGAAAATATTTCGACACGAGATTGCATCCTAACTTCGTATTCGCAAGGCAAGCAACGTTTTTAAAAGACATTTCCCGGCACTCTCTCTCTCTCTCTCTCTCTCTTTCTCTCCGTTCCTTCTTTTATTTCGCAAAATTAAGAGGGACGATAATTCATGCACAGAGACTTCCGTCGACGAATCTGTTAGGAGCTTGCAAAAGTTTGTCAGATCGTCGATAATTTTTCACTTAAAACGTGTCATCGGGTAAGAAGCCATTTCACAGACCCGCGGAGTCAGGTAATTGCTTGAAAAGTGGCGAAAAAGTGGTAGGTAACGGCGACAAATACAGTCCCTGTCCATACTATTAGACGCGCCTTAATTTTTTACGTTTCATTGACTTCCGAGGGCCAGCTATCGATTATCGTCCGTTATAATACGGCTCATCTGTCGATCAAATTATGTTAAGGAACCATTATTCTATAAAAGGTATTCTATAAAAGGTATTTTCTATGACGTTATTTCACTCGGTCGTTACAATGACTTTAAACAAATATGAACGCGCGCTAGTTGTATTGTCGACAATAACGAGAACAGACGTGAGTTTTGAATGTGTAAATTGAAATTTAGTTTTATTTTTGTTTACTTGCGACTTGAAACTTCAAATCCCCCGCTTACTAACGGAAGAATAAAATTTTCTGTGCAAAATATTAGCATCGTTTACCAAAATTACGGGTAAAACAAGTGATTTGACAAGTCGGAAGGTTGCAGAAGCAAAAGCGCTGTTCGACACCGAAAATTATTCTTGGTCGAGTAAACACAAAATCAGTAGCTTTTCTTCTCCTCCTAACCTGTATTCCACCAGAGAGTCGAAGCGCGTCTAAATAATATATCCAAGAACTGTATTTTGAGAAACGCGTCGCAAATATTATCAATAAAAACAAATACGACCGAAGATCCGACGAGCTTTCGCAAATTCCTGATATTTTCCTTAACGTGTATCTCGCGCGCGTATTTCGTAAACGATAAAGCCGGATCGCTGAACAAACGCAATCGTTCGAGAGGCAACGTTGGCTTACCTGTCCTCGTGGTCGTCGCACGCGGCGTTCTCCTCGGTAGCATGGTAGCTGTCGTGCCTTAGGGACCGAAGAGCCTGCGAACAAGTTCCTCCGGTACACTGGAACTCGAGCCTTCGCCGGAGGTCCGTGGCTTGTAGCCCTCCTCCGCCCCCCATACCCCCGCTCCCATAGTACCTGCGGGCACAAGCGGTCGACGGCCGTTACAACTATAGCACACACGTGCTCACGCAACAATCGCCGGCACCTCCGTAAAGGTGAGCTATGAACGGACCGGTAAACGACATGTCGCTCAATATGTCGCATAAAACCAGAAGTACCGACGGCGAATAACGAGTCGTAAAGTACGTCTATAGTGCGCGTGACGGAGAGCTCCACTGTGCGCGGAAAGACGCGGATTCCGGGCGCGAAGTGACAGTAAGTAATGGTCGCGAGTTTGCCCGATGCGACGGTATCGCGTTACGTATCGCGGCCGATGATCTCGTAAAAATTCGCGTATATCCCTTTCCGCGAGGAACGACGACGAATGACGTCTTAATACCCTTCGAAAGTCCCGCCACGCGAAATCCGATTTGCGCTGGAGTCCTGCCGGAGAGGGAAGTCCCTTAAGGAGGTTGTAAGGTGAAAGACGAGTTTGATAAGAATTCGATGAAACCTGCGCTATATATATATATATATATATATATATATATATATATATATATATATGATTTAACTGTACTCGTGCAGAGGAGGATTAACTACTCGACAGCTGAGATACTTGCAACTAAAGTTGACACGTTCTATACGTGTTCTTTGAGATTAATGCGCTATTTTTAAGTTCTATTTTCAATATCTCTTCTGAACTCTCTTTTAAACTAAAAATAAGATTTTCATGAAAAACTATTATGATATTAAAGACTGATATGATATTAAAGACGGTATAGGCAAATATCATAAAGTCAATTATATTTCTACTCTTAATAAATATTTTTCAAGGAATATTGAAATAACCATTTTACTTAGTATCAAGTAAATTATCACTCGAACAACACCTTTTCTTCAGTGTGATTTAAGAGCACATAAATCCTATGTATTTATTTTGCTTACTGCCTTGTTATCTTTAAATTGGAAGGTTGATTAGCTGTCCACTCAGACTCCGCCAAAAACTCTTTTTCTTTCGCTTAATTAATGGAGTGTAAAATTTTCGCGTTGTATCTTCAAAGAACGTAAAAATAGCGCGTAATTATATCATTTTGTTATTAAATTTACAATTATATAGATAAGGAGGAGGGGGACTAGCCGGGCGACTATTTTCAATGTGTGACGTACGGATACGTCTCGAGCAATTATTGAAACGGGTTGTCTATAAATTAATAGAAGAAATGAATCGATCGACGATCGGGCGATCGTCTACTCGTAAAGACGTTGGTGATATTGGACGATTAATGCCGGGCGGAAGTGTTCTCTAAAGGGAATTTGACTCACCTAGCCCGGCTTCATCCCATTTTCCGCCTTTATCGCAACGTAAACGAGATGTATACTCCCCCCTGCCGCTCCGCCACCACTACCGCTGCCGGGATCTTACACCCCCGATGCCGATTTTCACGAGCCTCGCCACTTCCTCGCCTTTCCCGGCTGCCACTTTAACCGCCGCAATGTGTCGCTCTCATCACCTGTAACACGAGAAAGGAAGCGTGTCGATCAGCGACGGACTAATCGGGACGAAATTGCGGAACAATGTTTGCTTCGATAACGAAAGAGCGCATTGCCACTATGTACACTGCGAATTATTACTACGTATATTAATATATTAATAGCGATAATTATTGCGTAACAGAGCGAATTGTTGCGCGCGAATAGATTATTATTAGCGCGCGATCGCTTATTTTCGCCGTCGCCGGGGCAGCGGTATTTTTCGCGCAGCGATCGATAGCGCACGTGTGTCCACGGGGGGCGGGCGGGGGGGGGGAAGAGTTGCGCACGTATCCACGTATGTGCGCACGGACGAATACGAATCCTTTGGCAGATAGTTGAAATTCCGTGTAGGCGAAACGTGAATCGATTCGATTAGCAACATACGTGCTCAGATACAGGCCTGATTGATTCAATTTGGGTTCCGGGCGCTACGAGCGGTGCTTAGACGCCGGCAGCGGACCCTCCGAAGATGGACTGATAATTATATCACGTTTTGAGGCTGCCACGTGACTTGGCTGAAGCGAAGATGAAGTAATACTGCATGTGTGTGTGTGTGTGTGTGTGTGTGTGACCCCAGAGACGGAAAATTAAATATTTCTAAGTCCCGGAGCACGTGACACGAATTGTACGGCTAGATCAACTCCTCTGATCCAGTTTAACGTCTTTAATGTTTCAACTACCATCGATTAAGAATGTTATATCGCATATCCTGCACGCTATATATTTTTGAGCGAAGTCACATGTTACATTGAAATGGATTTAAAAAAGATTTAATATACTCGAGAGATAGAGAGAGAGAGAGAGAGAGAAAGAGAGAGAGAGAGAGAGAGGTCAAAGCACTCTCTCGCGTGTGCCGTGCCGAAAATCATAAAATATTTTAATAATTCGATCGTAAGTATATTCAATAACGGCGATCACGAACGGCACAACGGCGATGAAATTGCAAATTAGCTGCGATTGTGTTTGATGTTGTAGTGCTTAACTTCCACGTAGAAAATGATCGCGATTTAATGCAAATTATATTACGATATACGCGTGCTCGCGCGCGCGATGTATTACGGTCACGGAATAATAGCGCACGCTTTCGCGTGCGTTCGTTTGCTCGCGCGCTCGCGCACACGGAGGGGGGGGGG